TTTTATTTATTTATTTGAGAGAGAGAGAATGAGACAGAGCACATGAGAGGGGGGAGGGTCAGAGGGAGAAGCAGACTCCCCGCCGAGCAGGGAGCCCGACGCGGGACTCCATCCAGGGACTCCAGGATCATGACCTGAGCCGAAGGCAGTCGCCTAACCAACTGAGCCACCCAGGCGCCCTCCATATGAGTTTCTTAATAACATTTTCTTTTTTAAAATGTGAGTGTAGTTGACACACAATGTTACATTAGTTTCAGGTGTACAACATGGTGATTCAACAACTCTATATGTTAATCTATGCTCGCCATAATCGTAGGCACCGTCTGTCACCATACAGCGCTACTACAGTGTCATTGACTGTATTCCGTATGCTGTACCTTTTATTCCCATGACTTATTCATCCATAACTGGAAGCCTGTATCTCCCAATCCCCTTCCCCCGTTTTGCCCATCCTCCCCACTCCCTTTTCCTCTGTCAGTCATCAGTTTGTTCTCTGTATTCATAGGTCTGATTTTGCTTTTTATTTATTTATTTGTTTTGTTTTGTTTATAACGTTTTCTTTTCTCTAGTTTACTTTTAATTGTAAGAATACAGTACATAATACATATAACATACAAAATATGCATTAATTGACTTTATGCTATTGATAAGGCTTCTGGTCAACAGTAGGCTATTAGTACTTAAGTTTTGAGGAGCCAAAAATCATATGTCGATTTTCAATGCTGGGGGGTATCAGCACCCCAACCCCTGCGTTGTTCAAGGGTCAACTGTACAAAGAAAACCACATTAGTATTGTAATTCTTTTTTTTCTAACTTGAGAGAGTAGTGTAATAAAAATATATTCATAGGAAATTCAGAGTCAACACATTATAATCATTAGAGTTAGTAATAGAGTTTACTCTTCTGCATGCCATGTATTTCAGAATTTTTTTTGCTATAGATTATGTATACAAGTGTGAAGTCAACTTACTGGTGTGCATTTCAGAAGTTTAATAAGTGGTAATTAAGTAACTTACCTGAGAAAAAGGCCTGAAAAAATGTGTATATATTTCAGTGTCTATATCTATATTAATATGTATAAAACATTTAGAGTTTATCATAATTACATATGTGACTCATATTTTCATGTGTAAAAATGCATTGGAATGTATTATTTTAGCAATTTGGATCTTTTGAAATGCATTTTTTAATTTAAAGAGTTTTATATTAAGATATGGGAGCCCAGCATTCTAGTCCTTGCTCAGCTACTACTTAGCTTTTTGGCTTTGGGAAAGTCACTTAAAGAAACTGAGCATTAATTTCTTCATCCCATGAAATGAGGGACTTGGACTGGAGAAGCTCTTAGTTCTCTTCCAGTTATTTAATTGTATGAATGCATTAATTTTGGACCAAAGTGGTAGTAAGAATATGTTTAATTTTTAAATTGCTCCTATTTTATAATTCAATCCTTAATAAGTAATTAGAGGAACACAACTATTATTAATAATAATATCAGTTAGAACTGAGCTATGTAAAGAGATTTCTTTGAATTCAGCTGATGTGTCATGTAAATAATATGCTTTATTAGAATGTTTAGGTGATAAGTTTAGAGCAGCTGTGAGAGGACATAAACTATCAGTCTATAGACAAAACATCAGGTTGCAAGCTAGATGTCACCAAAATCAAGGCAGGAAAGGCTTTCCAGTGTTCTTCGATGATGAAGTCCAGGCCAGAGTTTCCCTAAGGCAGATAAGACAGAGGCAGATCTATCTTCAGGTATGAGGTGAGGAGGAGAACAGGTGGGATACAGTTTAGTGTAAGGAGAACATATATATATATGTGTATGTATACTAATTTTTTATGAGTGAGAATTTAACATCTAAATACATTTTGTGCAAACTGTTTCAAGTTATAATTTGAAATGTAAATGGTCCAATTCTCCTCTTGTAATCCTACAGCAGGGTTTCTCGACCTCGGCACTATTGACATTTTGGACCAAATTATTCTTTGTCATTAGGGGTGTCCTGTGCACTGGAAGATGTTTAGCAGCGTCTTTGGCCTTCACCCACTAGAGGCCGGTAGTACTGCCCCTCCCCCCCCCACACACACACCTGGAGTTGTGGCAATCAAAAATATTTCAGATATTGTCAAATGTCCTTTGGGGGCAAAAATCAGCCCTGGTTGAAAACCACTATTCTGTAGGGTGGTGCTCTCTCTTCCAGGTCTCACCTTAGTTAGAGCAAGGCTTGGTTGAAAGGCCATCTACCTAGCCACATCTCATTGCCTGTATAAGTGGCTGTCAGCAAGGACCCTTTTTTTAATGGGTCTATAAAAGAAGTCCAACCAAGTGTTGACTTACAGAGCCTCAGGTACTTCCTGACGGATCCCATGACTGTTGCCGAGGTTACATATGGCCTTCTCTCCCGGAAATTAAACGTTCCTTGTATTCCATTTCCTTTATCCAGTTCCCCAAAGCCCACACCATAATCTGGGTGTCGATGAAGACTTGTATCAATTTATGTTCTAACATATAAGTTGGAGAATTGGGCAGAGTAGTTCCTAAACAAAATCTCTTATGACTCAGTTCTATCCTGGGTCCCGAGTGCAACTGTCATTGAATGTGTGAGTGATTGTTTGAGGAAAGTGCTTGATGTAACCAATTGTGCATAATCCTACTGTTTGCAGTTGTGGGAGTTAAGTGAAAAGGATAAATGTACTAAAAACAAGTTATGTGGTAATAAAAGAAGTGATAATGTGTAATTGGGGTGTCTGTTGCTTCAGCAATTTGGTCTATTAAGGGAAGTCATCAAAATTCTCTCAGAGTAAAAACAATGACTTTGTAAAATTCTTGATTTATCTTCTAAAATTGAGAACTTTACATGTATGTTTTTGTCCTGAGAGAGCTCCCAGAAATATTGAATTTTATCAAACATAATATTATGCTTTGTAAATAAGGTGAAATTGGAGATGACTGTGAGCTATTAGACCATTTCCAAAAGAACATTAGATGCTCTACTCTTATGAAATAATTTATTTAATAATTGAATAAATTGTGGTTTTTTGTATTTGCTTTTGTTAATTAGAGGTTTTGAGCACCCACTGGATGCAGAACACCATATTTAGGCATTTTTAAGGAGAAGCATAAAATTAGATTTCCCACGTTGCAGTGGTGTGCTGGGAAAGGGTTAACAACTGCTTTCCAGGAAAAACAAAACGAAAAGCCAAATTTGTAGCATTTGCTGGTTTTCACCATGGCCAATTTCAAGCTCCCTCCGTGATGGCACTGAACATGGATTTGGATAGAGACAGGCAGAACTGGTTTCCCTGAGCTGGTAAGCCACTTCCAGCACACCACTGGCAAGTTGTGATCTAAGGACCTCACGTTTGGACCTTTAGAAGATCCACATAGCAAATAATTAAAGTAGTATATAGAGCAGTTTATCTTCAAATGTTAGTGAGAAGATTATAAAATGAGCACATAAATGTTCAAAGGTGCTAACCAGGGAGGGCAACAGAGCCAGGTTGTTTGGGTATTTGGATACTTCCTGGGGATTTTGAACCTGTGTTTAAAGTCCTGAAAGAATGATTTATCATCTTAAGCATAAGAAACAGGGTGAACAAAAGCCTACAGATGGCACAGTTGCTTCCTGACCAGGACATGTCCATGGTTAAAAACATTTGAAAAATGTTATCAGCTTAAATGTAGCTGAGAGAGACTAGAGACAGAAAAACGAGGAACAAGTCGGATATTCTGTGCTCAGGGTGATAAGTAGTGTGACAGTGTAAATGTGAAGGGATGGCCGAGTTGGGTTTGTCAGATGATGGGGAATAGAGAACAGGAAAGAAAAGTCAAAAATGTTGAAAACAGTAACATGGCAGGTAGTAATAAGAAAATTGGGGAAAAGGTCCAGTTCAGCAAGAGGATGATTAGTTCCTTTTTAATTAATTTTATTTCAGTGATAATATCTATGAGATAAAAAGGCTAGAAAAAGGTTGGGGGATATAGTAAACAAGAGTTATTAGGGGTCATCTCCTTCATTGACGTGATTTAATGAGAAGCTAATGTTTTAGTGATTCTAGAGGAATCTTCAGAATCTTTTTTAGGATATGCCAAAGGTTCAAGTTCAGTCATGCCCATTTTGAAATAGATTAAATGTGAAGTATGCAGTTTAAAATTGACTTATATGTCACATACAGTTTCTTTTTTCATAGTATTTTACTCTGCTTATAATTTTCAATTATAGGTTATGGCATACAGCCTGTTTGGGGAAAGAAAATGAAATAATGGTATTTGGTGGGAGCAAAGATGATTTACTTTCCTTGGATACAGTAAGAAAATTTCATATCTAAATATTTCCTTTGAGTAGTTTTGTTATTCAAACTAAAATTGTTGATAGTCCCACACTGCAAAATATGGACGAATATGAAATGTTACTCTGTAGTGTGATTAATCTTCAGAATGAGTGGCTTTTGTGAAGTATTTCAGGGTATTTTGAGTTTACAAATCAAAATAGGTCTATTAACCTCATTAGTCAAATTATTAAGAAAAGCTTTTAAAGGATAACTCTTCCTTTTCTCTTTGAGTCTCACCATAGTATGGGTGTTTATAATTGTATTAAATTAAAATATTAGCAAGTTATAATTGATATTTTATAAGAATATATATAATGTATATGTAAACTACTAAATATAGTAATAAATACTCATGAAGTTTGCTACCTCACTTAATAACTAGAACACCAATGCTAGCTTCTCCCATCAAGAGGAAAGTAGCTTGAAATTTTAAAGTGTAGTTTCTTTTTACTTTATGTGTCTTTTGCCACTGCTTTACCCATTTTATATTTAAGATTAAAGCATTCCAGTTTTAAAATTTGATAAAACTAAGGTCAAAGAAATAAATGAGTAGCACTTGGAGAGTATTGTTCTTTCACTCCTTGCACCTTGGGGAATTCAGAGCAAGGTGGCCATGCTCCTACTGTGTTGTGATGGGACAGGAGCTCAGGATTGGTTGCTCTGGTTTGTGGAGGACGTTTGGGAACAGCGGAACTCTGAGCTGGCAGGGACAGGAGGCACCAGCCAGAATCCAGCCACATTGGGGCCAGTTCTATCCCTGACATCTTTTCAGACATAGTTATCTCCGGAGTTGTGCCTGCCAAGCAGCGAAACCTGAAATGAGCTGGCTTCTCTCCAGGGGATTTGGTTTACTTTATAGTTTGGAAGCCTCCAATTTAAACATTACGTACGTTGAAAATTTTAGAACTTTCTTTGGCTGAGAATTCAGTGCTTCAACAAAAGATTAAAACCACGACTTTGCATTTAATTAAAAAGCAAATTTTGTGGTTTCTCTTCTTTTTCTTGGCACTAGAAGTTGGTAGGATAGAGTTTATCATTAAAATAAGAATCCTGATTAAAATCATGATCATAAGGTATGAAATTTTAAAGACTTATTTGAAAGGATTAGGGACATTTTTCTGCTGATTCTTCCACATTAACTTTTAGATGAGAGAATCATTCAAAAAATCTTCTGGATCTGAGATTTCCAAATGAAGAATTCCCAGGGAATCCTGGGACCATTTGGAAAAGAGAGACAAGATAAAGAGATTTTAAAGTAAGAGTCATTTGGAAGAGGAAAGTTCTGCTTAAAAACAAAAAAGCTTGAAAATCACTACTTTTCTCATTTTGAACTCACTGTTCTAAGAGAAAAACATGTACCTGAGTTTTAAATTTGCAATTGTATAGGTTGTGGTTAGGTAAAAACTTGGTCACTGAGAAATGGTAGCGATGTACCCAAAGTTTGTGTGGCTAGCAGGTGTGTGTCTGTATATGTATGGGGTGTGTGTGTGTGTGTGTGTGTGTGTGAATAACTAGAGGGAGAGAGATTTATTTGCTGCTGTACATAACCTCTTTTACATTTACAAAATAAAAATGTTAAATTATTAATGCATTTTTATTCTTTTAAACACCTTGATAATTCTTTTTTTATGTTGATTAGGGCCACTGTAATGATTTATTGATCTTTCAAACACAGCCTTATTCACTACTCAGGTAAGTAAATTCATTTTATATATATATATATGCTATATACATATATACATATATATATACATATATACAAAGGAAGATGAAAGAAATTATCATATCTTAATAGCATATACATATATTGCATATATGTATATAGCTACATGCTATATACGTATATATGCTATTATATATATAGCTATATACATATATATATGCTATGAAGCTATGATATGTATATGCTATTAAGATATGATAATTTCTTTCATCTTCCTTTTTGGGAAGTGTGATAATTTTTCAAGTAGTTTATGATTTGAATTTAAGAAAATGTTTACATCTTCCTAAAAGTATAATCATATTTGTAATAGTGAACCATACACAAATGTGATTTTTAAAAATTAAAATATACAGTACAATCATATTTTTATTTTGTGCATAAAATTGCATTTAGTTCATATGGGAACATTAAACATACTGTATTTCCTTGATTCTAAGCCTGAAATATTTCATATTTTAACTTTTCTGAAATCAGTGTATGTCCAATAATAGACACACATATATATGTATTTAATTTAGTAGAATTTCTTTTTTTTTTTAACACCAAAGCTGTTATTAAATTGGTGGCATGACTTATAGTGTCTTAGCTCATACACTCTTGCTTTAAAAGGAGTATATACAAGGTTTAGTTGGAAGATTGTGGAAAAAAAATCCCTGTTTCTGCCTGTGAGGGTCAGGAGGAAGGATCTGAGTGAAGTAGAAGTTGCCCAATGACCAAGTGTGGGTTTTTTTTTATTTTTTTTAAGATTTTATTTATTAATTTGAGAGAGAGAGTGAGTGAGAGAGAAAGAGAGAGAGCGTGCACGAGTAGGAGGAGGGAGAGGGCGAAGCAGACTCCTCACTGAGCAGGGAACCCGATGCGATGAGGGGACTTGATCCCAGGACCCCGAGATCATGACCTGAGCAGAAGGCAGACACTTGACTGAGTCACCCAGGTGCCCCCCAAGTGTGGTTTTTTTATGCAGGGGGAATAACATGGGTGAAGGCATGTGAGAGAGAAGCTGACATGCTAGATGTCAAGGAGTGGTCTGTAACATCCAGACATTCTACAACTTGAACCATTTGAAAACCACTGGACCAGCTCACACTGGACCATCCTAATGTTTTAACTGCGCCTTCTGTTATTACAGTGGTTCCTTCTGTTACTTCATGTTAGAATCTCATAGGGAACTTCAAAAAGTATTGAGGCCTGCGTTCCACTCCCACATGTTATGACTTAATTGGTCTGGGGTGTGGCCTGAACTTAGGAATTTTTGAAAGACCCCAACATAATTCTAATGTGCAGGCAGAGTTTGGAAATTGCTGATGTCAAGATTAAACTGTCTTGTATCATTACTTAACTTTTGCTGTGAACATAACTCCTTTACCTAAGTAGATTGCAATTTCCTTATATGCAGGAATCAAAAAACATAGTATTCAAGTGCCTACCATGAGAAGGCACTATGCTATGAAGTGAAAAGTCATGCTCTTTCCCTTAAATTGCTAGTAATATAGAAGGCAGGCTTTCAACAACTATAAAAGAAAAATAAAATTGCTTTAAGAGAAGCATATACAAAGTTAATGAGACTACTGGCAAAAAAGACCCTCTACCCATGTGGTTAAGATGGTGAGGGTAGAGGAGTATTTGCAGAAGAAGAAGAGTTTGAGACAATTTGCTACAAACAAGCAGTGCAAGGGTGTTAGTACAAGATATACAAGTATGGTATGTTTTGGAAACTGAATTCTTGAGTGTTCCTAGACGTAAGCATGAGGTGGGGAGTTGGACAATAAATCAGAAACCATATATCATCTAGAGCCTTTGTGTTTCATGCAGATGAGTTTACATTATCTTGTGGGAGATCAAGAAGCATTGAAAAATTTGGAGCAGAAGAATGAGATGATCATATTACAAATTAGAAAGCTCCTTTGAGAACAATGTGGATAAGAGACGGGAGGGATATGTGACTGTGTAAGGAAAGTAATAGAGTCTTGCAGTGATCAAGCACAAAGTGTGGGGCTGACCTTGAAAGTGGCCATGGAGCTGGAGAAGGGATGGAGGTAGAATGGGCTTGGTAGGAAAAGAAGAGGGAAGAATTAATAATAGAGAATCTATGAAGAAGGAAGCGCGTTTGAAGGTGGGATAGCGTAGAAAGATGAATTTGGTTTGGAGTCTTTTGAGCTTGAAGTACTTATGGTATCTTTAATGGAGCTATTCATTAACTAGTTAAATATATGGAGAGGTGTCTGGGCTAGACATAAAGAATCATTGGAAGATAGGGGCTCCTGGGTGGCTCAGTTGATTAAGCGTCCAACTCTTGATGTCAGCTCAGGTCTTGGTGTCAGGGTTATGAGTTCAAGCCCCATGTTGGGGCATGGAGCCTACTTTAAAAAAAAAAATCATGGGGATGCCTGGGTGGCTCAGTCAGTTAAGCATCTGCCTTCAGCTCAGGTCATGATCCCAGAGTCCTGGGATTGAACCCCACATTGGGCTCCCTGCTCAGTGGAGAGTCTGCTTCTCCCTCTGCCTGCTGCTCTGCCTGCTTGTGCACGTGCTCGCTCGCTCTCTCTCTGTCAAATAAGTAAATAAAATCTTTAAAAAAAAAAAAAGAATCATTGGAGTCTAAATGGGCATGTGTTAGCTCTGCCAAGAAGAGTTTTGAGAGTAAGGATGAAGCCAACAACTGAGCACTAAGAACTCACAACATCTGAGGAGTTGGAGGAAAAGCGGCACAGGAGAATGAACAGGGAAGTGAAAGGTGAACCAGGAGATAATGGGAATGCAAAATGGAGGGAGGAAAGAACTGAAGACGGAGAGATTACTTACTGTAAAGAGGTCCCAGAATATCTGGATTGAAAAGTGCCTTAGTGTTTGGCAGTAATCACAAGGATCATTTCTCCAAGGTCCACAGGAAGGGTTGAGCAGCAGGGGTCTGAACCACACAGGTTCACTTATATACAGGTTTTTTCCCAATAAATCCGCACAGCACTGTAAATGTATTTTCTCTTCCCTAGGATTTTCTTTCTTTCTTTCTTTTAATATTTATTTATTTGAGAGAGAGAATGAGTGGTGGGAAGGGCCAGAGGGAGAGAGGGAGAAGCAGACTCCCCGCTGAGCAGGGAGCAGATGCGGGGCTCCACCCCAGGACCCTGGGATCATGACCTGAACCGCAGACGCTTAGCCGACTGAGCCACCCAGGTGCCCCTTCCCTAGGATTTTCTTAATAACATTTCTTTTTTCCAGTTTACTTTATTGTAAGAATACAGTATATAATATATAACATACAAAATGTGTATTAACTGTGTTATCCATAAGGTTTCCAGTCAACAGTAGGCTATTAGCGATTAAGTTTGGGGGCAGTCAAAAGTTACGTGTGGATTTTCTACTGCTTGGGGCCTGGGTGCCCCTAACCCTCTCGCTGTTGAAAGGTGACTGTATTTGTTTATATGCTGAGAAGCAGCAGCCAGTTGTTGGAAACGCAAGAAAATGAAGGAAAAATTGTCAGAGTAGGGTCTTGAGAAGGTGGATTTTAGTCAACAGGTAATTGAATTAGTTGTTGAGAAGATTACTGTAAAATAATGAGGGAAGTAGGACTATGAAGGCAGAGGACTTCGTTGGCTGGAGGGTGGGGGACAGGGCGCTGAGAAAGTTTTCGTTGCGAGTGAGGTCGTCGGGGAAGAAAGAGAAGAGGTGAGGATATGAACTTACGGGGCGGGGGGGCGGAGAAGAAGGGTGAGGGAAAGACTGGGAACCGCGGCCGCAGCGGCTTCGAGAAGGTCCGGACTAGGGCCCGGCTGAGGCGGAGGAGGGAAGAGAACCCGCAGGGACGGCCCGGCTGCCGAAGCGCGCTCTGCTCCAGCGGCACGAAGCTGCCAGGTGGCCCGCGCGGGAAGGACAAGGTGCCGCGTGTCTGTCCCTCCCCGCCCCGCCGCCCCCCCGCCCCCCCCACTTGACATTAGCCGGGACGGGGTCGCCGAGGCACGGCGGGGAAGGGGAGTAAAGTTGCTGGCAAGAGAGTGAAGTGTGGAAGGACCGGGCAGGGTAGGAAAGGAAGCTAAAGCCGGAGGGGCGGTGGTGTGCGGAGAACCGGGGCGAGCGCGGGGAGCAAGGGAGTGCGCGGATGAACCGCACCCAGGGCTGTGGGGCAGGTGCAGAGCGTGGAAGGGGACGATTCCAGAGGCGGTCCCGAGTGAGGCTGGAAAGACTACAACGGGTTTTCCGCACGAAGTCTGCAGGGACGGGGGAGAAGGAGCGGTTAACAGTGGCGACCCCCGAGGCGGAGTGACGCAGCCCGGGGCCCGCGGGAGGAGCGAGAGCCGCGGCGGGGGCTCCGGGTCCGGACTCGCCGAGACGCGGGCGGGCTGCAGGCCTCTCTAGAAGGCTGCACAGAGCGGCGTGCCGAGAGAGCAGTTTGAGCGGGGACGGGAAGCCCGCGGGGGCAGAGGTGTTTGCAGACACGACTGGGGTTCCAGAAAGCACGGAGTTTGGGTGGGCACATGAACAGCGATGGGGAAGATGCCCCAGCAGAGCAAAGAGGGAAGCCGATAGGACCGAGAGGATGGGCTTGTGTTGGAGGTTGGGACGGAGGCGGACCCTCCGTCAGGCTCCTTGGTGGCACCCTTGGCCCCTAGTACCATGCTTCCCTGAGTGCGTATACACCGTTCTCATGCTGAGCCTATTCCGATGCATCGAAACTTGAATATAAAAGGGGCGCCTGGCTGGCTCAGGCGGTGGAGCGTGCGACCCTTCAGGTCGGGGTTGTGAGTTTGAGCCCCACCTTGGGTGTAGGGATCACTTTCAAAAAATCTTTTTTTTTAGGGCACCTGGGTGGCTCAGATGGTTAAGCGTCTGCCTTCGGCTCAGGTCATGATCCCAGGGTCCTGGGATCGAGTCCCACATCGGGCTCCCTCCTCGGCAGGGAGCCTGCTTCTCCCTCTCCCACTCCCCCTGCTAGTGCTTTCTCTCTCTGTCAAATAAATAAATAAAATCTTAAAAAAAAAAAAAACTTTTTTTTAAAAAACCTTGAATATAAAACTAAACCTTGAATATGGCAGGAATTTAGTGGTATTTCTGTGTGAAGCATATCGGCCACACCCCGCAGTCCACAGTGTAGCCAGAGCCATCTTTTTATTTTAAATTTTCAGTCAGACGGAGACACTGGGAAAAAACAGAAGATGAATAGGATGGGGCTCCTCAGCTCAAAGAACTTACATGGTCTGATGTATTTGTGGGCTCACGCTCGTCATACATTTGGTTGCATGCATAGTTTTAAAAAGAAATACCTCAATTATTTATTCTGATAAAAATAAGATGCATTTAACAAGAAAATTCATACAATATGAAAAATATATGGTAAAAAAATGAGCCATCACCTATAATGATCATTGTTAAGAGTTTGATGTTTATCCTCCCACACTTTAAAATGAAAAATGTTGTGGATTTAACCATGCTAAGAGGTCATTGGACTCTTAGCGAGAGCAGTAGACATAGGTGTGTGTGTGTGTGTGTGTGTGTGTTTGTGTGTGTGTTTATAAAGGGTCAGATTATGCATCCTGTTTATAATCTGCTTTTGGAACTCATATGGTGGATATATTTCATGTAGATATCTAATCATTCAGTGATTTATAGATCTATATTTATGTTTGTAATGACTATACAGTATTCTATTTCATGAAAGTATAGTTTACTTACTAGTCTATTAATATATATTTAGGATATCTACAATTTGGGGCCATTATAAAAAATTACATGTATAATATTCTTGTATATGCTTTTGGAAAGCTTGCATATCTTCTCGGGAGGAAATTCCTAGAAGGGATATGTTGGTGGATCAGGGCATATGCACATTTTATACTGTGATGAGTCAGTGGCTCCCACTGCCCTTAGACAAACTGCAGATTCCTCACCATGTCCCCCCACCCCCCACATTCTGCCAGAGCTGTACTTGAACCTCTCAATTGCAGTTTCTGTAATAAATCTTAATTTCTCATTTCTAGGGCTTTGCAGGAGTGGTTCCTCTATCATGGAATACTTTTATTTAATTTGTTGAACCCTCAAGGTCTCAGCTTGGACATCCCATCTGGAAGTTTCCCTTGCTGTAGTTGTCTTGGTTATTCTTCCTCTCTGAGTCCCCTAGAACCCTGTACCCGTCATGGAAATTTTCTGTTTTCCCAGTCACAGCACTATTTATCTTCACTAAATTGTAACCTCCTTGAAAGTTGAAATAGTGGGGGGCGCCTGGGTGGCTCAGTTGGTTAAGCGTCTGCCTTCTGCTCAGATCATGATCCCAGGGTCCTGGGATCGAGCCTGTTCCCCCCCCAGGGCTCCCTGCTCAGCAGGGAGCCTGCTTCTCCCTCTCTCTGCTCCTTCCCCCACCTCTCCCCCTCGTGCTCTCTCTCTCTCTTTCAAATAAATCTATTTTTTAAAAGTTGAAATGGGGATTTTCTCAAAATTGGGTTTCCTCCTCCTAAGTGTACACAAATAAATATTTGTTGAATCAGTGAATGAATAGTAATGACGGAGTCCATCTCCTCATCTGACTCTTCCCTTCCCCCCATCATGGATGTGGACTGGTTTCGGGAGCTCTTGTGTTACCAGAGCAGCAGAGTTAAGTTTACATCAGGCATAAGATTCACGTTGTTCGCTTGTACTTCTCCTGTATCTGTGTAGAACATTTTCACTCTCCTTACTTAGAGTTTTCACAGAGTAGAGAGAAAAGGCTTCATGAAAGTATAGAAGAAGATATAAATAGCTAGAGTGTAAGTCCTTATAAAGTGCCAACTGAGGTTAACTACAGCAGAATCAAATGAATCTATCTTTAAAACTTTTTGAAAAGATTTACTTACCTTTTTGATTTAAAGTTTATTTGTTGAAATAGATGCTTTCTTGATAGTTCTCAGTCAAGTTTCTTTTGGTTTTAAAATACAAAATCCTCTTCAGCGTAGCTTAAGATAAGAAGGGAACTGTATTTGGAAGGACACACTCTCTAGGAGAATCAAAGGGGACAAAGTGAACACGGGGGCCCCGGAAGGGGAAGAGCTCAGGTGGCCTCTCGTGGGCTCTTTCTATATTGCTGTTCCATTCATTCGTCTGCCCAGACCTGCTGTCTGGGTCAGGGCAAGTCAGGTGTACCAGTGCGGTGGGTTATGGCACTGGCATGGGGGGGACGGGTCCTGTGGCATGAACATGGATGTCAGATACTTCATCTTGGGGTGATGGAAGAAAAAGATAGTTCTCAGAGAAGATGAAGTGGTTAGTGGACCAGAAGGATAAATGAAAAACGATCTGCTATAGACTAACCTGCTTTGAAATTAAGTCTGAATCTTTCCTGCTTAAATAACATTATGCGTGGTGCGTGGTAAGTTGCAATTGCTGTTTCCATTGGATTTTGGCCAGATATGGCCTCTATGCTATAAGAATGTGTAATTACTGTGGTGCTCTGGGAAGAACATGTATCCTATCGTGTTCCAAACACTACAGAGGAAATACATTATCATGTAAAAATTTTATACTGATTTTTATGAAGAATACTTATGTATAAATATTTTGTAACTTCAGGTTCAAAAACTGATAATTCTGTTATGTTTTATTTACAGGTCATGCCTTGACTGTATTGGCAAAAATGCCATAATTTTAGAAAGTCAGATATCTTTATTACCTCCTAAACTTCTGCAGCAAGTACTCAAAAAAATAACATTTTGGACTGCAGCTAATCACCGAGAAGAACAAAGAGCCCAAAAAGAAGAAACAGAAAATAAGTATCAGTGGATCACTAGCAATTAAATTGTTATATACTCTATATATTTAATATGTGTAAACATTTTAATCAAACTGTGTATTCCCCCTCCCCAAATTGGAGGCTTTATTTAGAAGATAAAATTTGAAACAAAAATGCTATGTTAAAGTAATTATATGTCATGGAATATATGGGAATAAGATGTTAACGGAAGATTAATTTGTATTTATAATTGTAAACTAATTTCCTAGTAAGCTGCAGGAAGAAATATACTTTCTGAAAGTAAGTACAATTGTAAGATATTTTTAACTCACTGTATACTCTTTACTGGGAAGTTTATATGAATTTCAGGAGACTGAGAGATTAACTCAAGGACTGTAGAAATCCCCCAACATAATAATAGATAAAAACACTATACATCAGCTTTCAGAAAGAATGGATTTTCTCAAGCCAGTTTGAAATTATCTACAGCTTCTCATTAAATAACCCAGTTATTTAAAACCTTCTCCTTGAATAACTGATCCAGCTGGGCAAATGATAAAATGGGCAAACACTGGTATGTGTTTAGTATGGGCCTCCTGCCCTTCAGTGCTTATCTAGCAAAGTCTCTCGTTAAGCATCATCGTAACTTTTCCTCACCTTTATTTGAGTAGTGGAATAAACGTCTTCAATTGTCTTTCCATTACCCCTAAGTTGTTAGTTTGTCCAAATTTATAGATATAAAGACCATATTTTAAAGTGTCTAAAGTGGAGGTTTACTTAACCATACAGACTTTGAAATATTGAGAAGCAGATGTATTAACTTTTCAGACACGTTAAAATATATTTTTGCCTTGGAAGAATGCTCCTAAAGTAGTTTTTGTAAGTAATGAAATGGGATGGTAACCTAGTAATTTATGTGTATAGAAACCCTGCTCTTTGGCCCACACCACTCTACAGAGCTGGTGCTCAAGACCCATGATATTGGAAATATGTTCTCTTCCCACTGATTGTCAGTATTAACTGCCCTACAGAAACGGCACACTGTATTTATCTTTATATTCCTTAAACTGGTACTTTTACCATAATTAAGAAATTACTCATCATTTATACCCTTCCATTGAATTACTAATAACAATGAATTATTAAAAAGCTCAGTATATGAAATTATTCTCCATAATATCAGCATTCAAGCTATCTCTAAAATTTAAAATGTTAGAGAGAATATATTTCTATATTGAAATAGATATGTAATTTATAATAATTATAGTAGCTCATTAAATTTTACAGATATATTTTATATATATATACTGTATTTTAGATGTGTAAAGCTTCTATTTATGTATTGAAATACTTTGTGCTTACATTTTATTATACGAACTATATAGATTTACTATTTTCCTAGTTTTGTTAGTGTGAACCAGTCATTAGAGTTGATTGTGCAAACAATATTTCAGTGTAAGTTTTCTTTTCTTTCTTTCTTTTTTTTTTTTTTTTACTATTTTTAGGCTGAATAACAGATTTAGAAAATGAATCTCACAGGTAATATACATCTTAGAAGTAATTATTACATGAACTTCTGTTGTCAGCATTTTTAAGGGGAAAAATATCAAAACCTATTGGACAGTGATAGATGACAGTGAATGGAATGAACATCTTTTAAAATGTGGATCATGTGAATTTAAATTCTAGATTTTGCAGATGCCTTCTGTAGCCTCTTAGAAAAGCACTTCTGGTTTGAAATGGTTTACTTAGAATGTTAAAGTTGGATTAGCCCCCTCAAAATACACTATCATTTAGGCTTCAACAGAAATCTTTTATCTGTGGCACACAAAACTTTTGACTTAATATACTGTGCTGCTTTGAGAACTTACAGGTCCTGAGGTAGGAGCCCCATAGTAGGAGGGGCAGGAAATTCTGATCTTTACCTTCAAGCTCCAAAAGTTGGCTTAAACCAGACTTGGCTTCTCTGCTGGTAGTGGGTGTAGAAATTCTGGGAGCCTGCAAAGCCCGTTTTAGCAGTATTAATTCCTCACTTCTCACCAGCTGATGGTTTACTATCCACTTTTGTGCTGCTGATCTCCTCAGCGTGGAGGAGCCCAAGACAGCCACACCTCGTAACTTCTGCTCTGAGCTCCCCCCACAGGCTCCCTGTTTGAAAAATGACTCTACAGGGGTTGATAGTCTTTTTTCCAGATGGTTCACAGAATAGGTTTCCAATTTGGTTCTCAAGGAAGAAGATTTCCAGCCATATATATTATGGATATTCTTAGGATATTCTTCCTGTTGTCAGGAAGAATTCTTTTGCGTATTATCATCTTTAGTATGATATACTCAATAACACATACATTTTTTTCCAAATAGTATCTTTGCACACACACCTTTAAAAATGATTAGCCTTTGAATAGAAGCGTAAAAGTATTCTTTAGAACTTCGTGCCTTCTGTCTAGGCACAAAGTAATGCTTTATTTATATTGTATGTGTGTGAGAGAGAGAAATAATACAAACTAAGAATAATTTTCAGGATAGTATATACTATCTGACAAGTTAAAATTTGTTGACATCAGAGCATTTCAAAAGAAAAGAAGCAATTTTAAGAAACATATAATGCTCCCTGCCCACCTTGTGTGTGTGTGCCCGGATTAATGTGATTATATTGGAATTTCCGGTTTGATGAGGTTATCACACAGTCCAGCACGTGGAACAGCAAGAACATTTTCTGTCACCCTGTTACAGACTGAATGTTTGTGTTCCCCCAAATTCATATATTGAAACTCTGATGCTCAATCAAAGTAGTAGTATTTGGAGGTGGGGTTTTCAGGAGGTAATTAGGTTTGGATGAGGTCATGAGGTGATGAGCCCATGATGGGATTATTGTCCTAAGAAGAGGCACAGACCAGAGCTCACTCGCTCACTCCCTGCCAGGTAAGGATGCAATGGGAAGGCAGCCATCAGCAAGCCAGCCCCCACCCAGAATCAAATCTGCTAGCACCTTGATCTTGGACTTCCCAGTCTCTAGAACTGGGAGAAATAAATGTCTGTTGTTCAAACCATCCAGTCTGTGGTATTTTGTTATAGCAGCCAAGCTAAGACACATCTGAAGTCCAAAGTTTACATTAGGGTTCACTTGTGGTGGTATATATTCAACGGGTTTAAACAGATGTGTAACAACATGTATCTACCATTATAGTAGCATATAAAATCATTTCACTGCCCTAAAAATCCGCTATGCTCTGTTCACTCATTTCTCCCTCCCCACTAACCCCTGGCAACCACTGATCTTTTTACTCCACAGTTTTGCCTTTTCCATATGTCATATAGTTAGAATCATACAGTATGTAGCCTTTCCAAGTTGGTGTATTTCAGTAGCAATAAGCATTTAAGTTTGTATGTTTTCAGGGCTTGAAAACAGCACTGAATAATATTCCATTGTCTGGATGTACCAGAATAATTTTTTAAGGATTTTCTACGTAGATAATTACTAGTGAGGACAATCCAGTATGATGTTAGAAAGTAGTTGTGAGAGGAGACATCCTTTCCTTGTTCCTGATCTTAGTAGGAATGCTTTGAGTTTCTCACCCTAAGTATGATGTGAACTGTAGGTTTTTGTAGATGTTCTTTATCAAGTTGAGGAAGTTCCTCTCTATTCCTAGTTTGCTGAGATTTTTTTTAAGATTTTACTTTTATTTATTTGAGAGAGAGAGAGGAGAGCATGAGTGGGGGTGGAGTAGAGGGAGAGGGACAAGCAGACTCCACACAGAACACGGAACCCATGACCCGAGCTGAAACCCAGAGTCAGACGCCCAACCGACTGAACCACTCAGCTACCCCTTGCTAAGAGTTTGTATCCTGAATAGATGTTATTTTTTCTGCTTCTGTTGATATCATTTGATTTTTCATTAGCTTATTGATATGATGGATTACATTAGCTGCTTTTTAAATTTTGAACAGCCTTACATACTGGGGTAAGTCTTACTTGATCATGGTGTATAGTTCTTTTTTAATTTTTTGAATTTGATTTACCAATATTTTGGTGAGGATTTTTGCATCTATGTTCAATATTGGCCAATATTGGCCTGTCATTTTCTTTTCTTGTGATGTCTTTGTCTGTTTTTAATATTAGGGAAATGCTGGTCTCAGAATGAGTTAGGAATATATTCTTTTTTTTTTTTAAGATTTTATTTATTTGACAGAGAGACAAAGCGAGAGAGGGAGAGAAGCAGGCTTCCCGCTGAGCAGGGAGCCCGATGCGGGGCTCAATCCCAGGACCCTGGGATCATGCCCTGAGCCGAAGGCAGACGCTTAATGACTGAGCCACCCAGGCGCCCCTAGGTCTTGCTTTTCTAATACATGCAGTCACTGCTATAAATTTCCCTCTAAGCACTGCTTTCACCCATCCTACAAATTTTGATAAATTGTAAACATACGGGCAGTGACTAGAGAAGGAGTTTCAGGCTATGCAAATTTGAGTCCGGAAAGCCTTTGTTATTGTTCAAAGTATTCCTTCCAAGTAGTGGCCACAGCGTGAAGATGGAAAAAACAGGATAATAAAAACAGACTCCTCTCACCAAACACATCCAAGTAAAGAGGCACCATTACACTGGGGATTTAAGATGTATTCTGGTCCAACCCTATTTTACAGGTGAGGACTCAAGTTTAGATTACAATAATTCCGAATTTTCTTGACCTAACTGAAATGTATCATATAAAACGTAAGACAAAACAGTAACTGTGTGTCAACAGGATTTCCCATCCTCCCTTAAGGGCTGGGCGGTGATGGTTTCTGATGTACTTTTTCAGTACAATTTTCCAAACTGGGTGAAGGATTCTGCACTAAGATCTCTGCTGAACCAGAAGAGCTCAGCGAGCGGAGGTGCCAGGAACCGCTTTGCGGGCATCGGAGTGGCGCGAAGTCGGGAGCCCCCAGCGCACCGGCGCGCGAGCAGGCGGGCCGGCAGCAGGCGGGAGGGCCAGGCGCCACGGCTCGTGGCCACAGGAAAACAGGGCGTGGACTCCTCTCTTGGAGAGACTGAGACCAGAAACTTATTGAGCAATGTCACTACCCCTTTTCGGGCTGTGAACCCTTTAAGAACATTCCTCAATCGCACGAGGAGGACTTCTCAGTAAAAAAAAAAAAAAATTTTTTTTTTTGCAAGAATGTGGCTCCCATTCTTCGC